TTTCAGATTTACCTGCTGGAAGGACTGCACCGGTGGAAGGAACCAGGACCGTGGTACTGCTGCCCTGGGTACTGGACCATCTGCTTTACGCAGGAACTCAGGGGACTTGCTTCACTGCGTGAACAATAACTTTGAGAAGCTTTTTGGAAGGAAGATGGTTCCGGAGTTCTGTCCACCCTCCCGTTACACTGGTAGGCCTTTTTGGACACGTTTGTAATTTTTAAACGTTTAAACAATATTTTTAACGGGCCTACCTTCACGGTCTACAACCCCACCAAGCACGGACCCGGTCCCACCTTTACGGTCTCCCTCAGGACTCTCCGACCCTCGGACGTCCTGGGGCTCGGGCGTCAGTGACCACCCCAGCAGAGGACTACGGTCTTCTTCGGGAGTCAAGGGGTACTGCAGGAGTACGAGAAGTTAGTCGACTCGTCAAAGAGGGAGGACTTAGCCCACGTATAGGACGTCACGGACCTGGTCAGACGGCCGGTTGTCTATGACGTACGGCTAATCAAAGAGGACTTTGCTATCTCCTTTTCACCTTATAATACCCTTTTTTACNTGTGGATCACAGAGAAAACAATCCAGAAGACCGTGTTTCCTTTCCCAAATACCTGAAAACAGAGCATCAAACACATACAAAATGTTACTTGTCTACTACATGGTGTGTGTGTGTGTGTGTGTGTGTGTGTGTGTGTGTGTGTGTGTGTGTGTGTGTGTGTGTGTGTGTGTGTGTGTGTGTGTGTGTGTGTGTGTGTGTGTGTGTGTGTGTGTGTGTGTGTGTGTGTGTGTACTTACCACTCCCAGCACAGAGAAGAAGATGACCCCGGCCAGGCAGGCGTATGCAGTGTAAGCACTTGCGTTGATGTCTGGGTGTCTCTTCTGATACAACTTTAACACACACAGCCCAGCAATCATGTACATGAAGGAGGTGTCTGCAGGAAATGAAGAAAAAGATGTCAACAAAACATATTTTTGTCGTATAAACATCACAAGACCCAGATTATTTGCACAGAAGGGCATCGGGAAACTAAACTGCAATTTTCCATAAAAGTGACTTTAGCGTGGAATGGTAAACCTCTGAAACTAATATAGAGGACAATCTGCACAAATGTTATTCCGTTGGATCAACAATGGCTGCAGGTGATCTCAGAAAAAGGATTGTGGTCTGTGTGTAGTCAAAAAGAGGACCCATGCAGTCTTACCGAACTGGAAGTTGGTGTAGTTGGGACAGACGTGGTAGCATGCGCTGAGCAGACCCTCCATCATCAGAGCCGTTCCCATGGCATAATACAGACCATAGTGCTTTGGGATACCACACTCCTTTTGGGTGGGAGAAAGGAACATTGGGTTATAATTGAGCAATGAAGTTCAATAAATAGAACATTTGACATTGTGCCTGTATACTCCCTTCATTACTTCTTATTTATTGAAGCAATAAGTTACCAAATTGTGCTAATTTAGCTAAGATACTGTTTTCAATCACAAAAAATGTGTATTTACTTTGGAAACAGAGCTAAAAAACCCTCTTTGCTGGGTGACACACACATGATTATAAGTGTCTCAGTGTGTTAACTTCTGTCCGTGTTACTCACCAGCGCGTTCAAATCGTTGCGGAACAGGGCCCGATTGTGGACGATATCTTTTTTGAGGATGATAAGGAGGAAGAGGAATCCCAGCAGCACGTAACCGAGGTTACTGAGGATGTTGTTGAACGCACTGTGTATGAAAAATGGTGTGTGACAAGGGTTTAAACACCGATATGTAACCTTCTAGCCATACTGTGGTTACGATAATACATTTGGCATCCAAACGCACCTCAGAGCTCCCAGAGGGTGGGCACACAGGAAGTTGTAGTAGCAGATGTCCTGGTTTCCTGTTACATTCACCACCTGAAGAAAGAAAGAGAGTCAGTTTACCTTCCATCTTTATTTATCATATTTTATTTCACAGTCGTCCATGTCTCATCAGCGTACCGTCTGGTAGGTGATGACCAGCTGGACGACTGGCAGTGCATAGAACACAGCAATAGTAGCAATGTTCCTGAAGGGAAAAGAGATCATTATTAGACTTCCTCTGAATTGGGAGGATTTAGAAATCTTCACAAATGTATCATTGTACTTCATTAAATTGTATTCTAACCACGATCCTCACCAGAAGTAGATTTGGTATTTCTTGCTCAGAATCCTCTTGTCTTTGCGGGACAGGTCAGACACACATAGATATTTCTGTATTCAGGAGGGGATATTATTACACGTCATTACTCGTGGAATTAGCAACGGAAAGGAGAAGTGATATTTAAACATTGTGACAAAACCAAGCAATGTGCATTGAGATGGAGGGACTGGGCAAACCTTGGTGCGGACGATGTTTTTGTCTGAGTTGATATCGTCCAGCGTGTCATAGTCGTCCTCCTCCACAGAGCTCAGAGACTCGTGCCTGCTTCGTCCAACGCCGTCCAGCGATCGCTCTGATGGAGAGAGAAAGGGAGTTCATGGAAGAAAAACAGAAACAAGCCTCTCGTTTCATTGGTGGGACAATCTGGTGAATTACATGGATTCAAAGTTGTTGTTTTTTAAAGATGCAAAAGGTGTTTCAACACATCACACCTCTTAAAAAGTATTTGCATTGCAATGATTGTTGGTACTCTGATCCACCTAGTATCAAAAAAGGTTTTGCTGTTTATTTCATTTGAATCAGATTAGGAATTTGCCACCTCCAGGCATCGACATTTGAGTCTCATTGATGTTTGATTCAAACGGCGCTGATTGGTTTGGTGCAACTATTAAAACGATTTTGCGGCAGTGTGTCACCGATGCGGATGGCTATGTGGTGAAGGTGATAGAGGATTGTGCGACGTTTGAAAGGCTTCTGTCCTGATGAACAAAGACACACAGAAGACAGGTGAGGGACCAGAAGAAGCTCATAAGAAGCTAACTGCAAGCCAGGCTGTGGAGACATACTGCAAAGTGAGAGGGGTGGGACAGAGGAAATGTGTGTGTCCATACCTATGTATCCATAGTTGTTGTCAGTGGATGTGGCGCTGTCAGTGATGGCCTCTGAACTGAGAGTGCTAACGTTGTCAGCTGGAGAAAAAAACAGAAGGATTTTTCATTATTATTATTATTCATAAAAGCTACTGTTAAAGAAAGACGTAAACAAATCTCCGAAACTCACCAAAGGATCCATATTCATACGCTGAGGCTGGAGTTTGGCCTGTGGAGATAAGCACGCACACATTTAAAAACACATTTAAAAGTATAGGTGCACACAATGAGCACCACTTCAACCAATACTTGTTAGTATCTTAAAGCTCCCATGTCATGGCCATTTCCACTGATCATAATTCCATTGTTGACGTATACTAAAATAGAAAAATACTGTGCAATTTTCCAAACTCACATTGGTTTCGCATACAGCATCTCTGTAAAGTATGTGTATTCAGCAGTATTCACTTTCTCCACTAAACGGCTTGCTGCAGCTCCAACGAGGCGTTTTGGGGAGGTATTTTCTGTTTTAGAGTTTTACTCGCTACAGGGTGTACTTTGAGGGTTTTGACTCTGCAGACCGTTTACATGCAGAAAAACCTTCATAACACACAAGGGGACGGGTAATAACCGGAAAAGCATGACATGTGACCTTTAAGGCTACACACTAAAACACTACGTTATTAGTACATGAACACAGAGAGGTGAGGGATGCAAAAACACATGCAGGGCTCTAATTATTTCAGGCTCTAAATGCCTACATTTGACAGTATTAGGATGACAATGTGAGTGGGGAATGCTGCAGAATTTGTTGCAAAGAGTGGCGACTGCTGCAATGAAAGTGAATAGTTTAAAAAAAGTCTCATGTTAGCATACACTGCAGTGAGCAGACACAGATACACACTGAGGGGTAGAGTTGGGCTAAAGAACCACAGAGGAGAATATATTCATCTCAGTAATTAACTACTGTATTTTTGATCTTGATAACTTCTATTTCATCCTTTAGTTTGTCCATTGTGTTGTTCGTATTGTTGACTATAATGTCATATACTGATGTGTCTCTTCAGTAAACAAACAGTATAGCTGGGAGAAATAGTAGAATGTGTGAGAAATACAGGAAAACCTAATAAAAGTGAGTCATGTGTATCTGTATCTGCAAGCCATAAAAGCTTCATTTACTTGAAATACTATCATTTTTATGTTACGACACAGCCTCTAGAGCTCTATAGTCAATCACATCTCTTTATTGTTAGTCAATGAACACTGTTTATATGGCAGGAGAGTTATAGTATGTGAGCTAATGCAGGCAGAGCCTCTACAGACAGTTTTAAGTGCCAGGCAGGAGTAACAGTGTCGTTATACCATCTCCGTTCTTCCCAAGCAGAGAGGCTGAACCACACATAAGCATGAGGGAGAGAGAGCGAAAGACACACATTCATTACACAGAAATGTTTAACTCTACATTAAAACAGTTAATGTACTACTATACTGTCTGTTAGGGGTAATCTAATAAATATTGCACCTTCTCTCCAGTACACGTTCACAACTTTAAGAACATGGTACACTCCACACACCCTCTTACGAGCCCCTAATGGGCCGATCCATCGTAGCTAGTTGCTGGGTTACCTGTTTCCGCGGGCGACATGTCGGCAGGAATCTGAAACGCCTCTCTTTTCTTCATTCTGCAGAAAAAGAGAGGAAAACAAATTAAAATCATTTGTATTCAGTGGAGTGCTCCTCTTGTGGTGCAGTTGTATAAATCTACTTTCTTCTTAGACACCCACTCACCTGGGTTGAACTGGGACCAGAATAACCACATGTATACATTGTGAACTTGTAAAGTAATGTTCTTTTTCAAAGGGCTTAACGATTTTTAAACAAAATATATCCAGAAAACCAAAACACTTAAGGTAAATACTCCAGTCTCTGTGGCTTCATCTGCTGTAATGACAATTGAAGGCGAGATACATGGGAAGTTTATGTATCACTGCAAAGGATTTAATTATTCAAATATACAAATGCAAATGATCTCAGCAGTGAAACAAGCCTGGGTGTATGAAGTGTTTGCAACTAACTGTTGATTTAGTGTCAGAGAAAAGTGCTGAATCTTACCGCTTGTTCTCCACACAGGTCATGAGCAATACGAGCAGATAGAAGGAGAGGAAGATGCCCAGAATGAACAGCATGCCCCTCACATACACCTCCGCTGTGTGGAGAGAGACATACTGTTAGCATATTAACATTATAACACTGCAGGACCTCGCCTGCACTGCAGAATGAAATGATATATCATCATTACAGCTTACAATTGGGGGAGACATACATTATACAACATGCAGCATGCATAAAAGCAACACTCGTTGTTTTGCATTATTTATTTCTCTATTAATTCAATTTCTAGAGAACAGAATGCTCGTTTATTACTTTTGGGAGACCTGGGTTTAATGAAAATCATCCTTCAAAATATCATAACTTTCCCCCAGTTGCATTGTATATTGTGCTGATATACCGAAAACAACCTTTTACTGCAATGGCACAATTATAAAACTAATGGTGAACCTGAACCCGTATGGAAGCTTCTTAACTGTGGGCATTTAACAAATTCATTTTCCTCCAAATAATTCCAAAAAGCTCTGTGGTTTACAAGAAATCAATAAAGATTATTCCTCCCTCTGAACAGTATATATTTGTGAACATGTGACTTACAGTTGATAGCAGGGGTGACAACCACATCGATGAGCTTGCTGCGGTTGCCGGCGTCGATGAGCTCATCAGGACGGAGAGGGTAGAATCGCAGCGGACCGCCACACGCCTCGTCCTCTGTTTTTACCACTACCACCACATAGAAGCTGTTGCTGGGGAAATCTTTTCTCTAAATGACAGAAAAGGACAGAATATTATGATATATGTTGTAATGGAAGAGCTGTATGCTTTGACACACAAGCTTTGACCATGTGAGCGACTGTGTGTCAGACCCTACCTGCACTGTGATGGCGCCTTTTTTGGTCATAGTCTGGTACATCCCAATGAAGGCCACATTGTTGTCAAGGTCATAGACTGGACACTAATAAGAAAGAGACAAGAAGAAAGACAAGCATGGAATATGAAACACAAAGACTTCAAAGATAAGATGAACAGGATTGCATAAAAATAACAATATTATATCAACCATTAACAACAAAGGTGATTCAAATATTAGTTAATCTTCTCAGAACATCATGAAATTGACAGTGTGGGCTCGGTAATGCACCGACATTGTCATGAACTTCATTTTGCCCTCGTGTGGCCAAATGGTGGTACTGCATGCTGTCTACAATGCAGGGGCCATTTGAGGACATCGGAAGTCTGGTTTGAGGGGATGATGTAGGGAGGGGGAGAGTGTACCTGGATGTCCTGGATGGACATTACGGAGCAGGGAAAGGTCATGTCCGAGTTGACCTTGACGATCACAGTGTCCACCCCATCTGGGAAGACATACTTGAAGTACTGAGAGAATGTGCAAAAGAAAGAATAGGGAAAAATATGAATATGAAGAAACGATCAACCCCTTTTTTATGTTTCCTAGCTTTTCCTCACTATCTTTATAATGCTTGAAAGAGGTTGGGATAGACAAAAAATGTGATGGAACATAGGTAAATAAACTGAAGTACTGGTACAACAATTACCAACCTGATGGATTAAAGGGTTATGATTCAAGGGAGAGGTGCTACAAAAGGTCATAATGAAAAACTAGTTTGTTCCTCTTTTCAGTAAAAGCAGAACGTGTTAGTCCAAAGGATGAAAAAAATGAAGTCACAACATGCTTAAAGGTGGGTAGGTAATTTTGGAGAAACCAGCTCGAGTGCACTAGAATTTGAAAATACACAGCCGGAAAAAATCTGCCCCTTCCTTACAGAGCCCCTCCTCCAACACACACAAACCTGACCAATGAGGGCACGTGATAAGTTTCTGCACAGATGGAAGGCTGTCAGGCAGGTAGGCCATCCAGTTACTTTAGCCGGGCCGGCTAAAATGATTGGTCGTGCTTTTTACAGTACTACGGCTTCCACAGAGGACATTTTTTTATGGATTTTTTGTCAAAGCACTTAAGATATTCATTGCTATCGGGATGTTAAGAGCATTCCATGGAATATAACAAAAAGTGTATCTCGAGCCGGTTTCTCAAACTTACCTACCCCACCTTTAAGAATTGTGTAAAATGTGAAATTCCCTTTATTCCTAATTATGCTTTCCTAAATCCACTATCATCGCTGTACCCAAGTCTAATAAAATATCCTGCCTCAATGACTACAGACCCATAGCCCTCACATCTGTGGCGATGAAATCATTTTGAGCGCATCACTTCCTCCAGCACCTAAAAAACCAGCACCGTCAACCCCTCTATGGACCCATATTCAATGGTTTACAGAAGCCAACAGATCCGTGGATGACGCTGTCAACCTGGCAATCCATCACACTCTACAACACCTGGAATCCCCCAACACCTACGCCCGCATCTCGTTCCTGGACTTCAGCTCCCCTTTCAACACCATCAACCCGGAAAAACTCTTCAATAAACTAATGGACATGAACACTGACCCCTGCTTCTGTCACTGGATCCACAGCTTCCTCTGGAACAGACAACAACGGGTCAAAATAAACAACTCCACATCTCTCCTTCTGCACCTCAGTATAGGAGCTCCACAAGGCTGTGTCCTATCCCCCTGGTTATTCTCACTCTACACAAACCAACTCACATCTCAGCACTCCACAGTCAACATATATAAATACGCAGATGACACAACAATAACAGGACTCATCTCAAATAATAATGAAACACAATACCTCACTCAGATCCATCAAGCAGTCACCTGGTGCTCAGAAAACAACCTCATACTTAACACAGCAAAAACCCAATAAATAATCATCGACTTCAGGTGAAAGCCACAGCCCAAATCACCTCTATCTATCTCCGGCAAACTCATTTCCACCACAGAATCACTCAAATTTCTTGGCACATCTTTCTGCGGCAGCTCAAGAAATACAGAGTGAGGAAACATCTCCTAATCCAGTTCTACACAGCCATCATCCAAAGCATCCTCGCATCACAGTCTGGTACAGCAGTTCAGACAACCTCTCTCGGAATAAACTTCAACATATCGTCAATAAAGCATCAAAAATCACCTGCAGTCCTCTTCCATCACTCGAATCACTTCACCACCAACGAATTTCTGACCCCTCCCACCCAGCTCACCATGTCTTCCAACTTCTGCCCTCAGGGAGGCTGCCCTCAGGTCACTGTCCACCAAAACCGCCCGCTTCAAAAACAGCTTCTTCCTCTTTGCAATACGGACACTAAATGGACTCTAAATAACCCCAATGAACAATCACAATCAATCACACCTTGAACTTTATGTATATATGTCATGATGTATGTATTTGCCCTGTGCTGTGTGTTGTACTTTTTATTGTCTGTTTATTGTATGTTGAATTCAATTGTATGGAACAAGCTGTAATAATCTGCACTGAACACGAATTCCACCAGCTTGGCTGTGTGGTCATTAAAGATTCTAATCTAATCTAATCTTCTCTCAGGTTTCTCGTCATTGATAACCTAACCCACACACTCTCCCTGTTTGCAACCTAGATATCAGTGAATAAATGTTCAGTTTGTAGAGTAGCACGTGCTATACTAAGAAACACAAGGGGGTTTTAACTCCAATACCTTGACTTGGGCTCTGTGTATCGGCCGATAAAAAGTACGAGTGTATAATAATAAACTGTATGTATCACTGTTGGGAAGTGAAAGGAATATTTTTTTATGTGTGACGCAGAATCAGGCTTGACTTTAACATTGTATTACTTACTTTGTAAAACAATATATAACAAAGAAATACCTTTAATAAATGTACTCGCTTTTTCCATTGCCACCAATACTGGACGCATATATGCAGTCGGTATCGGATCTCTAATAACAACACAAAGCTTTGGTATTGAGCTGTAATACCTGAGGTTGGGAGGGTGACGCGGTGAAGCTGAATTTCGTGTCCGTCCTGTAATCAAGGTTAAGAAAAACATGTCAGACATACCAGTAACAGACCTGTTTGTGACTTTAAATCCTAGCTTAAAGTAACATTCATGAAGCTGAGAATGCAGATAGCTGCTACACCGTGTGTTTGTGTGATTCTCTCAGATGTCACTCACTGCAGGGTGAAGCTTTCAACACGGCTGACCCTGAGCTGGTAGTTTGTTCCCTGGCTGGACAGGGTGGACACGTCCACAAAGAAGAACTGGTTCTCCGAGGAGGCCCGGGTCGGAGGCTGGCACAATGTCCGGCCCACATGATTGTAGGGATACTTTCTCTGGTATCTGGAGAGAGATAGAACAAAAATAAACTCAAGTTACCATTCAACAGGTTTGAATTGGATGACATGAGTAAATCTATGTTTTCACAAGAGTTTTGAAGATTTCCAAAAATCGGATGTCAAATGTTCAGCTTTAGAGCTAATTATCTCATCACATAGTGCTCTACGGTGAGTGACATGCATTTCTGGCAAGTCTAGAGATTGTCCTGAACATTTTGATATGTAACAGAAAAGTTGATTTAAGGAGACATCTAAAAATCAAGAAAATACCCTTAGACTCCAGAGGGTTAACAAGTATCTACACATGCATGGAAAAATACTTTGAACTAAGTAATGGATGAATGTATTATAAAAATCAAAGCAAGAAAATGTACTTGGTAACTGAGGATGGAAATTATTTTATTAGATTACTTAATATAATAGCAGCATACGACATTACCAAGGATTGTTGTTTAGGAATCAGATGACCAACAGTAACTAAATAATGCATATTGAATTAGCTTTGAGCACAATTAAATCAATACCCAGCTCTAGAAAAATGTTTGCAAATGCAAACAGCATAGATCAAATTGAAGTGGGAATATTTAAAAAAGAACATGTAACAGAAACTACATGAAACAGAAGAAAGAAATACTGATGACTTTGAGGTTAGCTCATTTACAGTAAACTGGGCTCCTCAGAAATCTTCACACTTGAGGATCTTAAAAGGAGGAAGTGAAACACCAAGTTTTTTTAGTCATCTGCTAAAACATGCATGGCCATGAGACTGCACAGGCAAGACTGCAGTGAGGTTATTCTGGTGTTGCACAACCACACATAGTACCTTGGAGTGTGGGAGACACATCGCAGATGGGCTGTGAGCCAATAGCTAATAAACAGCTGAACTTCTAACCTGTTATGAAAAAGGCTGTGTGCCTTATAACCAATGAGAAAACTCCGGAGCATATTTAAGGCTGTGTTGTTTAGTCCCCACATTGACAACTGGTGAGTCTTAGTGCTTGCTTACTCCATCAAAGAAATAAATCATTTGGATTCTATCAAATGTCCACATACAACTATGATATCTAAATAAGCAATATTCCTAAAAATGCAGCATCTCTTGGGATACATTTGACCCTGGATCTAAAAACACATCCTTCTCCAACATATATCCAAAGAAAAAGCACTGTTAGCATTTACAGATTTCCTTCACTTATATGGTTATTAATCACAGCTCTTGACAACAGACAAGAACATTAGCTCTATCTCATGACCAGAAGTCATATCGCTTTACTGTCTAGTGAAAGCAGCAACAGGACGCCATACACTCCCTAGGAGAAACCTTGGAGTATTGCTCTCAGTATCATCTAAGTGTCTGCAGTCAATTACAAGAACATACATAAAAGCCTAGTTTAACAGACACAAGCCTATTCATTGGGGTGGAGACTTCCATAATTGATTTTTGTCGGTGTAAGCATTGTTTCAAAAAACATTACAACATACAGCTCTATCACAACCTACGACTGGTTAGTTCCCTTTCTTTTCTAATTCTCTATAGAGACGTTTTCACATCTAAACACATTTGAGTGTGTAGTTGTTCAATTTACCAAAGAGGAAGTCGTGTATGCCCTAATGGTTTGGAAAATGTATTTGGTCTATGAAGTAGAGTGGACTGTACTGATTCATTGCACAACCATGTGTTGTATAAGGACAACAAACTATTATTGTTAATTATCCTATTAAGCAAATATTAGCCCTGCTCTACAATTCACAGAATATAATTGACTAAAACCTCAGAGGATTTAGGGTAATAGCTAGGATGTTGCTATGGCAAGCAGAAGCCAATAAGGCATTATGCTGGTAATCAGGTAATAAACTGGAAATGTTGTCGGATTGTTAGGACTTCAGAAGTGTTTCAGGAGGAAAACATTAAGGGTGAGTTTAGCACATTTAAGTGAATGACCAAAAACAAAGTCTACATCAGATGTTATGATTCCAGATGTGTCACAACTAGGGCATGTAAAGTTAAAATACTCACAGGCCTCTTAAAATGAGAGGGATTTGAAAGGACAGCACAGCTTGCTTCTGTCGTACCACAAACAATATGGGACTATCAGAACCTCGTGACAACACGTCCACAGTCACACGAACTCCCTCCGTCTGACACCCAGAGAAATAGAAAACAAACATATTATTCAATTGCGTCATATTAAGCTATAAACAAATGTAGCAGTTTGGCGATGTAAACTCACCTTGTTCCTGGAGATAGTGTGATTAAAAGCATAGATGGTCTGGTTCTGACTTGTTACAGTGTCATTGTATGTCACATCAAACTCGGCTTCTTTCTGGACCACATTTGTACTCTCCTCAACCGCCCCAATGCCGCAAACACACTGGGTCACACAGAACCAGAGCAGGGCTGGTCGGATCCAACCAGCAGGTCCACAGCTGTTTTTATGTCGAGACTTCCAGCAACTCCTTAACACCATTTTGTCTGACACCGTCTTCCTAAACTGAAACGTGATTCTAGCCTGCGTGGCAATACTACTAACCGCTCCACCCCATTCATCAACAAATATAAGGATAGTTAGCTAGCTTTACTTTGGCACTGCTATAACAGACAATAACAGCTGCAAAGCTAAAGAGAAAGCTACGTGTTTACCTTTAGATACAGATTAACGGATTGTCCTATTTGCAAATAATCGAAGCTCTCTGCTGTGCGACCAAGAACAGGTTCCAACACAACACGATTGATGAAAATGATACTCAATTCCTCTTTATCTGAGAGACTGACCAGCTGTTAGCTCGCAGTGCTAACGTTAGCACTGATGGGCAGGACGTCGGTAAGGCAGCTCCATGTTTTGATCGGAGTTTTAGTTCCAGCTTCGCGGACCGAAAAATGTTAAAGTGTTCAAGTCTTTCCAATACCAGCGGTTGTCACGGCATGTGTTTGCGGCGCTGCGGCATTGTGAAAGTATTTCTCGGACGGAGAGTGAATAGATTTTGCATGTTTATGATATGAAAAATCGGAGACATTAGCGCCCCCCTCCACGCTCAGACAGTAAACAAACTGTGCGACGTCATGACGTAATGTCTCTGTCTTCCAGAACTGATTTTTCAGTAGGCCTAATCCTAAACCATGTTTCTTAAAAATAGTTAATTTAGGCAATGCAGGTCCTGTTTCCAGATACATAATTCAATTTATTCCAAATCAACCTATCAGTTTAGGCAACTATCTACAACCGTAGTGAACAGCTTTTTTCTGTAGGCCTACAAATGTATGAAATGCATTTGTACTATTTATATTATTATATATTTGTCAAGACTTCTCATCTTAATTCAATTAACATTACAAGCTCTCCACTCACTTTTAAATACACAATTCAGCTAATTTATACCAAATCAACATATCAGTTCATGCAATACAACTATTTACATATATAGTGAATAGCTTTTTTTAGTTTTTTTAGTGTCTGAAATTAACCTTTTTTGAAATTATTACATATTTTTATGAGTTCTAAACCCAGACAAGCTAACATTATTAGATCTGAAATAATTAGAAATAAAGAGTTTGGATAAAGTTAGAGTCCGCACCTTATGCCTTTTTCATAATATAAATAAAGAGCCATTGTTCCATTTGTTCTACTATTTTGATCAATAAAATGTTATTACCACATATTTGCTAACCTTTATGATAAGGAACATATAACATACATATTAGCAAATGGGATGTGATGTTATATAAGAGAGCAAAATCCCCTCTAGCTTCTGATCATTATTTGCATTTTTGGCTACATCCATATTTTGTCATAATGAGCTGTCAGGTATCATTGATCCTCCTCCCTGTGATCTTTTTGCACCCAGTTGCCTCCACAAAGTCTTCAACAGGCGGCCTAATGGCAGCCTTATACTATTTTGCATATCTATAAACAACCAAGTACTCCTATTATTTATGTTTCAGTCTTTTTGTGTCTGGGTCTGCGTAATCATAAATCATGTTTCTTCGAAATTGTTAATGGTGGCGATGCAGGCCCTGTTTTTTAGATACGTCATTCAGCTAAACACAATCAACAAGTCAGTTTATGCAATTATCTCAAACCTATTCACCTACATTGAACACGATTCTGTTTAGGGCCCTGGGAAGCAGGGCAGCTGCCAGTTCTGCTCTTATATTGTCTTATCCAGTTTAGGGTAACATGATGCAGGAACTCTTTTCTACCATGCAGTGGTGCTGTCTACAACCATGTCAGGAGGCTGTAGAATAAAATAAAATACAAACAATCTCCCCTCATATTTAAATTGCAGAAATCCAAAAAGATGTTTGTTCAATGCGTTTCGTAGTATTAATTTTGTGTCACTGGTTGGCACATTGTATAGAAGCTATCAAAAACGATATGTATATAAAAATATGTCTGTATAATAAATTACACACAAACAAAAATAATGATGCTACATGAGACGACTTTAATAATATAGTTTACACTCATATGGACAATTCAACCTGAAAGCATGGACAAAATAAGGAATAGGCCTATACTAAAACAGTTAGGCCTATGTGATGGTCCCCAAGAACCCCCCCAGTGTTTAAGCGAGAGTGTATAAATCAAAAAGAATATGTTTTAAACTAAGAATTGTTGCCTTTAATTGTGAGCAAAGAAAAAGCCTTTCATATCTGCAGGTTCAACAGAGTCTGCTGAGAATAAACAAAAATACATTCTGGTCTATTCAAGTTTTTAAGTGACCATAAATGCTCCTGACACACTTGGCTGTAGGCATACCCATATTCATATTAGTGATAGTGATATAATTTATTTTAAACTATGAAATAGGCAAATATAGGCTACTAGTAAAATGTATGTTTGGTGTCAAAGGGTTAATAACACTATGTGAACTGTTCATGAGTGTTAGATGTAAAAAGCATTTGATCAAATAGGAATACGTAGCTTTGACTCATAATAGCAGGTTGTTCACGAACACCGAATGGCCATAATTTGTCTGTCAAACTGCTTGAACGTGTGAAGAACTATTCATTTCTAGAAATATTCATGATGTCTGTTTTCCTGAACCTTCTTATGTGTATCTGTCATTTCAACGTTAGAGTGCTGTACTCCTTTAAAGCCTTACTGATCATCATACACAGTGCAGCAGTTTGCAAAGAATCACTGAATCATGGGAACCAAAGTGATAATGCGCACTTCTTTGTCGCCAAGGCAACCACAATACGTTGCTGTGGATGAAGTCATTTGTTACGCTGATCGTTGCCACGGTTACAACCTAGAGAGGGCGCTGCGGAGGAGCGTTCCACGTAAAATGACGCAGGGCGGGGGCGTGCCCGTGATGCGCGCTGCGCAAGGCTGCTTGTTGTTCCCGCAGAGAGGCGAGAAGATGGCGGCCGTGTCAAGCGGAGGTGCTGCTGGGTCCGCTGCGGCCGGGATTACGCACTCTGCCCGACCGACCCACGCAGGCATGGGCTCCCAGAACCGAGCCCAGCCACCCTCCGGTATCAGCCACTCCGGTCGCACCAGCACGGCCCCCGGGTGCATCACCAATCCCGGCCACACTTCGGCCACCAGGCCCCCCCCAGCCCGAGTGGGCCACTACGAAATCGAGCGGACCATCGGCAAGGGAAATTTCGCGGTTGTTAAACTAGCCACACACATAATTACCAAAGCAAAGGTAAGAACATTGATGTCCGAGCTTTATCTAGGAACATATACGCGTTGTCATTATTTCATTTTCGGTCTTTTCGACCATGTAGTCGGGATGACGCTGGGGCCTTTAGGCTCTGGAGACACAGCTTTGGTGACACCGCTGCTTGTTGGGGGGGTCCATCCGACACGGGGCATCACTTCTAACTACTGGATACAAGCGCTATTAGCATAGGATATATCTCGTTTTACATATATTAGGTAGTAGTGTGTTTTACGCAAAGCTCAAAAGGCCTGGGGTTAATGTATGTGTAGAGGACGGAGAGAAGGGTATTGACGAAGATGAGAAGAGGAGACAGAAATGTTCCGACTGTACGTTAGGAGCTAGCTTAGCTTACTAGCTAATTAGCTGTTTGGCTAGATGCAGATATATTTAAGGCTTGCCAACACACACGTTTAAAAGTTAGCTTGATCTTGCTACATAACTAAAGTAAAGAGCTGCTAAAGTTGATGGACGTAGTTTTTCAAGTATTATGACTCTTCACGAAATTCAACGTAAAAGTACCACTCAACTGTTTGAAGCAGATGCAGACACTAGCTGTTTTAAGTTTTACAATTCGCTTTTATCATTTCGCTTTTGTTACAACTTAATAATACAACCGTTATTTCACGGTGTAATTAAACCAGTTTGTGCACCACTTTGTATGTTATTAAAATATCACAATAACTAACTGGATGCCATTTTATGAGGCCTTTCGGACAAGAAAACATTGACATGGCAACATTTGTGGTTTGAAAACTGCCACCACACACTTTGAGTGTACGTAGATGCTTTTGCATAAAGTGAGCGACTGTTAGCAGTATACTGGATGATTGGCGAAATCAATTGCAGACTCTATTATCAACAAGTTAAATATTCACGCAAAGCACTATCATTAATGAGTAGGTGGGTTACATTGAGGTTTTCTCCAAGTCGATCTAGTGCTACAATTGTATAAGCCTGATCATTAAACTTACAATTGTACCCATGCTTTTAAAAGGGACTGTTAACATTATATTTTGACCTTTATTATAGATAGTGGAAATGTGGGACCTTACAAGTGGAAGAAGTTGCTTAACTAAGTAGTGTTTATCTTTTCTGTTGACCTTTTGGATTAGGTTCCTCAATGTTTAAAGGCTCTATTTGCCTGTATGTCGTCTCTTAACACTATAGATAACATCTATGTCTTCTTGGCCTTCATGATGGTGTAATAAAGTGCATTTGACAACCGAAGAATCAGACATACATCTGTTCTACTTATGACCATATGTTTAGGGTAGTGACATGAGAAGATGATATGAAGATTGTGATCAATATGCAATTCCCCTATAATGGATACTTGGTTAAACACAAAACAAACGAAGGGTGGCTGAGCCTAAGCTTACAAAGTACTCCTGCAACATTATTTGTATGTGTGTCGCAAGCCCACAAGTGTGCAGCTTTACATCTATGCCCTTGTTGACATACACACACACACACACACACACACACACACAGACAGACAGTCATTTGTGTGTTTTGCTCCACATCTCAGATAACCTTCCATTTAGTTTCATAAAGCCAAAATACCCTTGGGTCAGGGTAGTGTTTTTTTTCAATGCTGCAGGATATGTATCTGAAGGACTGTAGCTGTGTTGATATGACTGTAATGTAATTTACAGACTTGTAGGTGGGAGCACAGTGTTTTCTGTTTGCCATTAAAGCTATACAAAGACAGTAGCTGTGTTATAGGGTGAAAGATTGATGAGCTGTTTATGACGCTTTTCTTATGTGTAAGCCTGTTTATGCTTGCCTGGATGTATGTGTGTGTGTGTCTGTCTGTGTCGGGCTGGCTGTCTGTGTGACTGAGTGTGAGAGATGGGCAGAGGACAAAATGACCGTGGAACACGTACAGAAAGAATGAAAGAGAGTCCTTGTTTGTCGACTACTGATGGGGATCACAGACAGAGCAGTCAGATTATGGTTTTTCACCAACCAGCACCCCAGTTGCTCATGAATATTGGAGGATTGTGTAGTTTTAGATGCCTGTGGATACCATGAAGAATATCGATACGATGATCAGTCATCAGATAAAATGTTCCTAGGAGCCTTGTTTTATGGCCTAGGTTTTATAATGATCCAATGAGAAATGCTGACAAGTCAAAGGTAGCCTAACAACTCTCTCCATTGTTAGATAGGGCTGACGATATCCTGCAGTGTCACACAGCAGTGGACACGATTATTTATATTATTTGCTAATTTGTGTCTATGTTTGTTAACACAGACAGTCACACAACACACACTTTCGATGGTGGTTGGTGAGTAAGCTGCATGTGGATGCTGTAATAGTGAAAGTTAATCTCTTCCAGACAAAGGCCAGATAGCGAGATAGAAGTCAAAACATTTTTGATTGATACACTCATACAAAGATAAACACTTGAAGTTTTCTTGATTACACTATGAACTAAATAAACTGTAAAACACGTGTTTCAAATGTGGCTTGCATAGTAAACATCAACACTATTTAGATTGCAAAACAATACCATTTGTATTCAAGTCTGTCTCCATTCTTTGATGCAAATTGGTCAAAGCCAGTGTTGTTCACTCGAAGTCATGATAAAATGTCCTTGAAAGCATGTTCAAGAATGTTCATTGTGTACACATGTTGTGTATTAGGTATCACATACAGCTTGTTGAAAGCATATGTTTAGAAGCATTATTTTTCAGTTGACTGACGATATAGAACTGTTCGCCCTTCACCACAATTTGTTAGGCTATTTATCAGGTCTGTAGTTGCCTTTTTGTTTCAATGCACTTTACTTGAAATGATATTTCACATCCTGGCAACATTCCATTACAGATGGCTCGTTTGCATCCATTCTGGGCCACCATTGGCTATTGAATGGAATTCTGTTTCTCTCTGCACACTTTATTGGTTTCTCAATTAAATGTTTGATCAATGCTCTGGATGTGATATAGCAGAAATGGTTATCAGTCAGGTGTAATACAACTTTGGTCCGGCTGGCCTCTAGGTAAATGCTGAGTGCTAATATTCAGTGATGGCGACACAAGCACAGGTCTATTGTTGCAGATTTTTGTAGCAATACTCAGCTGCAGGGCAGAAATAAACAACCATATTTGTCTACTGACTAATCATTTGACATTCATTTGTTGAATGTCTAAGCATAACATTTTATATCACCAGAACCTGAAGTTTTATTTAAAGATTCCTGAATTAATCTGATTGCGTGCTAAAACTGAGAAGGATTTATTTCCACATAATATGAAATAAAATACCCTGTGATCTTGTCTCGTCTAGTCTACATTAAGCAGCAGTCACCAGTACATTTCGTAGCCTTATTCTGTCATAATAGGCTCCATCAATACGATGAATATTTGCATGTAACGTATTGTTCGTCACGTAGTCAGCCATCAGCCCTGCTTTTTGTCTTCAGTGCTGTACCTGTTTACCAACAACGTATCATACTTGCGTTGTTATTTTATTAACAATCTTTTCCTGTGGGCAATAGTCACAGTTGAATTCCCCTCCGAAAGTGCAATGTTTGCGTATGTGCAAACTTGTGTGAAATAGATTGAGGTATTGAGGTTTGGTCAGTGCCCTATTGTGACCTGACTGAGGATCAGAGACACTTAGAAAAAGCCCTCTGTTTTGTTGTGCCCTCAGCAAGGCGAGTGGTATTGGCAAAAGATGGCACTATGTGACATGTCCTGACCTGTCTGTCTGTGGGGAAGCTGCTTTTTTCCTTTCCTCTTGTTCCTGTCTTCTCCTCTTTGCTCTATAGTGTTTCAAATGCAAGGGAAGGATGAGCAGGAGGAAGAGGCCATGCAGGAAGGTAACGTTAGGTAACATGCCTAATGTACTGTGTAACTATTCCACTCACTCCCTTAGTCACTCGCGCACAGCTCTCTAAAATGAGGCATCCCCTCTCTGTTTCCCAAAGGCACACATTCAAATGTGATTTGGTTTGGGTGAATAATATGACAATTCCTGTTTTGTTTTTTTCTTGACTTATCTCCTTGCCCTCTGGTCATATACTGCTGCATTCTAAGTAGTGTTTATCTGCAGCCAGTCGGCTTCAAAAGAACACAGCTCAGACTGTGTGTGTCCTCCGGTACATGACATGAGGGAGGACAGTGTATGCTTCATCAGTACGATCCTATCCCGTTCCTGTTTCTGCCCCAGACTGATGCCAGCAGTGTGTGTGTGTGTGTGTTTCTGCATGCCACATACTGACAAGTACATGGCAGCACACACTGTGGCACTTTAAAATCACAACTTTGTGTCATCATCATCATCATCATCATCCACAGAGCTGTTTGTTGTCAGAGACGACTGTGAGTTGCCAAGGCTCCTAGTTGGAGAAAGGTCGCTCCATTGAAGTCCTACTGGTTTCCATAGAGATGATGGTGGTTCCAGCACTCAGCCACCACTTCTGAATGGAAATGGCTTGCAATTGGTTGAGCTCATTGTATGTCATGAAAAAAGCGTGTTTTAATTACGTTATTATGCTGTGTTTTATGTCACTGTAAGCTGGATGGAACCAAATTAGCCAGGTGTGCTTTGGGTTTGACATTGAGTTGATTGATTAGTGAAGAAGGTTGTAGCTCTGCCGGTTCCTATTCCTCCAACTAGAAACCACAGCTGTGATGGACAAGAGCTAAGGTCTTCGCTCGATGCTGCTGCTTCCACCATGGTGTTCATTACTGGCCTGTGTACTGAGAGTTGGTAATATAGATACAATCCTCTATTAAGGTATATGCAACATTATATATTGTGATATATGGTACATTGCTGCTAGGGGATTAAATACCCAGACTGGTTTCTTATTGACTTATGCAGCACAAATAAATCACAGTAAACTCACTACACTGACATTTATGGATATTAAGAGGCATAGCTATGTTCTATTTATGTGTTATGTTTATGACCCTAAAATATCTGGCAGGAAGATTTTTTAACATTTCTATACTAAAAAAAGGAGATGTCCGACGCACTTCCCTAGTATCTTCGATTGAAACATACTGTACCACTATGGGCAGCACAACAATGAAAAATGATTCATATTTTTACATTTGTTGTCTACTTATCTCAAATGACTTACAAGAAAACAAAATAAAAAGCAGCACCCAGGATGTTACAGTAAAACATCCTGCGTGCCATGGCATGCATCACTTACAGCAGTCCATCTCCTATCCCGTGATCCAGTCTCGGTTGAACAGAGGGCAGCAGCGTGTCGAGAGGTCACGCACCCCCGCCGTCCCGTAGTTAGTCATGCCACCAATAGTTATTTGAACATGGATGGTATGGTTTTATCAGACCAATAAGAAAAGTTTGTGTGGGAAACACTGACCCGTATACGGATATGTTTATACTGCAAAACTGGACTTGGGCTGGGTTCCTCTTTGTAAACACCAATCAACCACGAGGGGAATGTGGACCGTGCAGTCAACCGGTAGTGTTTTCTTTTGAAGTGCTCATGAGCTATAATACTTACCGGTAATTGAATATGTCAAGTTTCTTCAGGTATGTTGAAATAATTTATTTGCCGTACAGCGAATGATTTTGCATTGCTGTTAAAAATGAAGTATTCATTGATACCTAAATAAACAATATCAATTATGATGATTTGTTTGATTTTATATAATGTGTTTTTTTATTATCAGCATTGACTTGAAGTTATATTGGTTGAATTTCTAAGAAAAAAAGCTTTGGAGTTACAGTTAGCTTAGATCGCTACATTACTCAGGGGGAAGCTTCATTGTAGCTTAGCTTTAGCTCTGGTAGCTTAAGCAGCTCGCCCAAACACACATCTCCATGATGAGGCGGGTTAAGCCTGGGCATTACAGGTGTTGTAATCTGTGTCACTTGTTGATGAAGGTTAACCTCAGACGTAATAGGTGAGTGAACACAGACGATCAAGCAAAATGCACAGCTTCCTACGGTAGACGTTCCCGCATAGACCCAGTTATTTGCTTTTCTTCATTATAGCTGAGTCATGGATCTCTAAATACTTTATTTGTCAAATGCTTTGTGAACATCATGTATAACATCTTTAACTTTAATGCTGTATAGTTTTAGACATTATAGCTTTTTCATTAAAACTCTTTAAAAAAACCTTCTTTATCAGTGCAGGGGTCTAAATAAGATGTTAATTTGAAATGGACTTCATTATCCTCTACTAATTGCCGGTACGACCGGAGTCAGTCAGAAATGTATCAAAGAATTCCAATCTTGTGAATTTGGCCACTAGAGTAATAGTTATTTTATTAGATGTAAACATTTATTTTTCAGAGAGAAAGATTGCTAACAAGAATCATGGGAATGTGATGTGCTCGAGCAAATGGCTTAGGTTCAGTCGTAAATTGAAAAGGCCAGATGTTTGCTATGTAAACAGTTGGAAATTAGCATCATGTTTTTTTTACACTATTTAACTCTTTGGTGACAATAAGATTTCCCGATACCACTTTACAATAAGACTACCCTTATAAAGGGTTTACGAATAGTTTTGTTTTTCATTTATTAATTATGTTGTGGGCGGCTGTGGCTCAGTGGATAGAGTGCTGGACTTCGAATCAGGGGGTAGCAAATTCGAGTCCCACTGCAGTCAGCATGTCGTTGTGCGTTCACCCCAAAGTGTTCCTGTGGATACAAGCGTCTAACAAATGACATATAATGTAATAAGCTTATAACACATGAGATAAACAGGGCAACTTTGAGCGGTTGCTTGCCAAATCGTAAGCCCACATGTATCTGTACTGCTAAGCCTTATATTGTCTACTTGGCTTACTTCGTCTCCTTCATCAGCCACCATCCTTGGTATCTGTTGCTCACTGAGTTGATTCTCGTAAGTAGCCAATATAAGGCTTAGTCATCTTGCCAAATAGGCAGCCTGTGTTGACGTATGTTAGAACTGGTTTATAAATGGTTCTTAATGATTAATAAAGTGTTTACAACCTAATTCATAACCTAATGAAGCATTTATAAGGGTAGTCTTATTGTAAAGTGGTACCAACTTCCCTATCACACACGTCCTCATAGGGGGCACGTGTGTAGCGCAATTACATTTTCTCACAAATACATTGTTGCTCTGGTCAGTACATGTGTTGTGGTAGCACTGTGTATCTTGGCCAGCCAGTGCTTTCTTCTATTTGGTTCAACAGGAGGACATATTTGTATAAACTCCTAACAACAAGCTGTTGTTTTTCATGTGTTAAAGTTCTCAAAACAGGTGATCTGATCAGTACACATCAAGCGGGGATGCGTGAGAAAAAATGTGCCGCTTGACTACCTTAAGTGAGGTTTAAAGCTTTATAGGTTTCTTTGTAAAAATACAGTCAATTAAAAAAAAAAAGCCCCTTCTCTGCCAGCTTAACAACATTAATGTAATGGAACACATTAAAGCATTAATATTTATGTAATATATTTCTTTGATATATTTGTGTAATACAATACTAAAATAAATTGTTTTATTCTGAAATAGATCTGAAATTGAGCAGAATTAATACTTCTACGGCACTATAGTACTTGGTATCCGGTTTTTTAATCTTTTGTAAGCTTAGAAAAGTCAATTTTAGAATGAAGGACTACTTGTAAAAGAGTGTCTATACTGAAATAGTGTGTATTTATATTGAGTTTTTACAAATATCGAGTAGTTTGTATGAAGTAGATATTTTATTGGAAATGATCCTTTTCAGCTGTGCTGTGAAGCAAGAACTGAGTGTGAGTTGTGTAAGGTACAGTAAAGTGTGAAGACTCCTCCGCTGCCCACCAGCTGCTGTGAGATGGTGCTGTGTTGAGGTCACTGCCTTGTGATCTTTGGGGCTATGTGACACTGTGTGTGTGTGTGTGTGTGTGTGTGTGTGTGTGTGTGTGTGTGTGTGTGTGTGTGTGTGTGTGTGTGTGTGTGTGTCCGTCCAGATCTTTTGATGGAAAATTCCAGAGTCATGGAAGCAGACTGAACACCCTGAGAGTGCTAAAGTACAAGCTCTCAGTCACAACATATTTACTGTACCTTGGCTGGAGGCGCTAAAGCTGGAAACCCAACCTTTGAGATGTCCACTGGTCACATGGTTGTTTGTGGAAAACAGCTTACCACTTAGCATCTGCATTCCTCTAGCTTGGTGACAACATTTGTAGTTCTTTAGAGGGTTACGAATCTCACGCTGCAAGTTTTCAGTGTACGACATGGCAGTGTACTAAGGAAAGTATTTGAATCAAGACATTGCATTAGCTTCTGTACAATTGTCCTTTCCAAGTTTCAGAAGGACTAATTGTCCTTAAAATGAGCAGTGTGTGTGCACTACATTTGGGTGTCAAAGTGTGTGATCCAGATGTCCTGTTGTTACCCTCCAGAAGATACAGAGGGTGCGATTACATCAACAAAACTCGATGACTGCCAAAGCCAAGATTAGATTCCTAGAGCTTAAAATACCACATAAACACACATTCCAATCAGATGCATGCTTAAACACACATGGCAAGAGTTGTTTTTAAAAAATCCCTAATTCTTCTGTATTTTTTGTGATGGTCAGGGACTTCATGTATGACTTGTTTTACCAATTCGTCAAATATTTTTTTTTTAAAGTGTTGGTGGGTTAATCACTTCATAAGGCTGGCCAATAGTCCATTAAAATGATATGGAAACCTGCATGATGGAGTACTATATTTTTGAATGAATACTACCATGAAGCTACCATAAGACATGTTTTCTCCAATCGTACAATGCCCTTGAAGGAAAGCTACACAAAGACACGTTCTGATCTGGATCAATGCCACTGTAAGATGTGGTGTTGTGCTATCCCAGGAGGCCCCTCTTTGCTCTCCTTCACATCCCTTTCCTGCCTGCAACAGGAAGTCACCCCTTGTCGGGCTTCAGTTGACCTTCTTCATGCCTGTTATCAGGAAAGGGAGAGCTCAGGATGGCACTCAACATAATTGGAAAGATGAGGTGTGTGTGTGTGTGTGTGTGTGTGTGTGTGTGTGTGTGTGTGTGTGTGTGTGTGTGTGTGTGTGTGTGTGTGTGTGTGTGTGTGTGTGAAAAAACACAGGACGCATAGTTTTCATTTTTTCACACGGCCTCGCACTGTACCCGCTCGTCTATTTTTGGACAAAGATGTGTTTTGGGGCCGACCCATTAGCTTTGCTTGATTGAGTCATTAAAGTCATCTACCCATTCCCTAATTGGCAGCGCAAAGCTCCTGTCACACAGCATCACTGTCCACTCTGCCGGAGCCATTGTGCAGGGATCGGCTGTTATGCAACAGACGTGCTCGCAGTTGAAGGTCAGGGTTCAGGTCAGGTTACCCAAACAAGCACATTGGTTAACAACACACAGTTTCATCAATCTTAAGAATTGTCAACATCTTGCGTTTTTAACTCTGTTTCTATGTTTTTACATGTTAGTTACTGGCATAACGCGTTGTCATGTTAAATTGAGTCTTTCTGACTCACCCTCCCTTCAGCTCTTTTTAGTGGTTATTTTCTTGGCACATTGCCCTTCTATGATTATGTCATCATAGCAATATTGCAAGGGCACTGCGACCAATCCCCCATAATCGCTGTCTGACGTGAATGGATTAAGTTGTATTTGAACACACAAGAGCTGATCAACAACATCTTTCTTGTTTTGTCTCCCACCTCTCTTCCACTCTCTTTTTGCTTCCATGCTACCTCTTTCCCTCACTGTTCCCTCCTTTATCTCACCATCTCTCTTCACCACTTCCCCCTCTGTCCTTCTCTCATCATTCATCCCTATCTCTCCCTGCATCCCTTTTCTTGTCTCTCTGTCTCCAGGTGGCTATAAAAATAGTGGATAAGACCCAGCTGGACGATGAGAACCTGAAAAAGATTTTCAGAGAGGTGCAAATCATGAAGTTGCTGAAGCACCCCCACATCATCCGCCTCTACCAGGTACACAGCCGCACTCACCCACAGATGCTCTCAGCTCACATGTCACGCCTGAGAGCCATGGTTCAATAGGAAAAGGACACAAATACATTGTGTTGATTTAGCACGATCTGAAGTAACCAACCGTTTTTTATGGGTTAACTTTATCAAGTTGTTTGCAATTCCAGCGATTTATTTGTAAACCTAGAAGAAAAAAATACTGTTTCTATGTTTAAGCTGTGAACATGATTTTTCACATTTACACCGAATAAACTTGTTACAAGCCTGTCTTTTATGGCATCTTGTCTGAAACGGCCCCTGGCAGTTAAAACATAATCGAGTCACTCTGCCACAAAATGTAATGTTAAAACCCTCACAGATACGCTGACTGAAAACTGCACTGAGTTAAAGGCAGCTTTTTTCTATTTAAATCTTCCCCAGTGTATGGCAAACTGTGCTTACTCATTGTGTTGTGTAATAGGTGAAACCGCCCATCCCTGTCAGGGTCTGTGGGTCCTGGTTGTTATCATTTGTTTATATCTCTCTAGGTGATGGAGACGGAGAGGATGATCTATCTGGTAACAGAGTATGCTAGCGGTGGAGAGATCTTCGGTAAGGGAGTTCCCCACAGTTACCTTGATCTAGATTGTCCTCATCCTCCCCTTTCCCTCCGCTTTGTTGGTTTCTCATATCATGTTTACCACTGTCATAACACAGATTATGTATATTTTAAAAACTGATTTTTCAAAAATGTCTTACAGGCCTTCAAGGTCTTTAAATTGTCTTGCAAGTTTACCCAGTGAAAATCTAAATCCAGTTAAACATTTTCGTTATAAGAGGGTTTACTTTTCACATTTGTACGTTGGCAATGCTTCTCCATTCTTGTATTGCTGTTTTGTTTGTTTCACTAAACGCTTGTTTTTATGTTTTGCCAATATTAGCTTCCTTTATTTGTAGTCGTATCCCTTTCTGTAACACTTATGCTATGTCCTATTCCTCAGCTTTCTTAAGTGATAACAATGAAATCCCTTCTACATTTCTCCTTGATGATCCAATGTTGTAATTGATTTGGCCAAATCGGAACAGAATCACATTCTTTACTTCCTGTATATTCAAAGAGAAGTCTCTAAACTGTACACTGTTTGCGTGTACAGACCATCTTGTGGCTCATGGGCGAATGGCTGAAAAAGACGCCAGGAAGAAGTTCAAACAGATTGTGGCAGCTGTCCATTTCTGCCACTGCCGCAGCATCGTCCACAGAGACCTGAAGGCAGAGAATCTCCTGCTGGACCACAACCTCAACATCAAAATAGCAGGTGTGTGTGTTTGCACTTCAAAGTGTATGAGTGAGGAAATTAATTCAGGTGTCTTAAGCTGTCTTGTTTGTTTGGGAATTAGCAAGTATCAACATGTGCTTCTGGAGACATTTCTCGACTTGATTGCATTTACTCGTTCGGGCAAAGCGGTCTGATTGAATGAACCTACCTCTCCTCTCCCCCTGTCAGATTTTGGCTTCAGTAACCTGTTTTCTCGAGGACAGCTGTTGAAGACGTGGTGCGGCAGCCCTCCCTACGCTGCACCAGAACTCTTTGAGGGCAAGGAGTATGACGGACCCAAAGTAGATATATGGGTGAGTAGGCTTTTAGGTATGTAGGAGGCCCTGTTGAGCTGCATGGTGTAGTTCATTGGCTTAAAGGTGGGGTAGGTAAGTTTGAGAAACCGGCTCGAGATACACTTTTTTTTATATTCCATGGAATGCTCTTAACATCCCAATAGTAGTGAATATCTGAAGTGCGTTGACAACAAATCCATAAAAAACATGTCCTCTGTGGAAGCAGTAGTTCTGTAAAAAGCACGACCAATCATCTGAGCCGGCCCGTCTAAAATAACTGGATGGCCTAGCTGCCTGTCAGCCTTCCATCTGTGCACAAACTTATCCCGTGCCCTCATTGGTCATGTTCGTGTGTGTTGGAGGAGGGGCTCTGTAAGGAAGTGGAAGTATTTTCAAATTCGAGTGCACTCGAGCTGGTTTCTCCAAAATGACCTACCACACCTTTTAAAGACAACAACAAATAGTCCCAATGAATGTGACGTCTTGAAAGTATTCTGTCTTAAGATAAAGTATACAATTTCAGCTATCTTGTCTATTTATTTATTATAGCAGTAATTGTTTGTCTAAGTCTATTAAAAAATGATGAACTCATGGTTTGTTTCCCGCTGTCTTTTCTATCTATAGAGCTTAGGGGTGGTGTTATATGTGTTGGTGTGCGGCGCCCTGCCTTTCGACGGCAGCACTCTACAAAATTTGCGGGCACGTGTTCTCAGTGGCAAATTCCGCATCCCCTTCTTCATGTCTACAGGTAGGATGTCATTCTACATACATCAACTTCTTGAACATAAAACAAAAATACCAAAAACAAGAAAAGTGAGATTTTCCCCCTCTTTTCTCTATAAACCACACAAATGAAAAACTATCACTGGTAATCTTCAGTGTCATTTTGCATGTTTTCAAACAGTCAAGTTGCTTTGATTTATTTTATGTTTCAAACGGTGTCATTTCATGTATGGTTGTGTTTTATTGCAGACTGTGAGTACTTGATCAGACACATGTTAGTGCTGGAGCCCAGCAGGCGGTTGACCATGGAGCAGATCTGTAAGAACAAGTGGATGAGACTAGGAGACCCAGACCCAGACTTCGACAGGGTGAGCCCCCGCTACAAGTGTTCAGCAGTGGATATCTATAGGGACATTATATGATCATCATAAAGCAAATCAAATCGGACTCATTTTTCACCTTGTTCTGAGGTTGTGGGTTTCTCTTTGACTGCACATGGTATTTTTTGCAAATCGTGTAAAATTGGATTATTTAGTGTCTTTGTGTTTGTGTCATTCTTGCAAAGATGACTCATCTCCGATCTGCATTTTCTACTGAATGTGTTAAAAAAAAAAAAAAAAAGTCTTGCCAAATAATTTGATATTAGAGATGGCAAGGTTGAATTAGTTACTGATAAGTTTATATGTTGAAAATCAGATAATTTAAAATGTATAACTAACTCAATGCATACATTTGGGACCAGCTCCTTTTTAATAAAACGGGTTGATTTCGATTATGCTTAATGAATTTGATTGTACGCCAAAAAAACGCCATACTATTTCTTCCCGACTTTCTCATAGTTCTTAACAGTAACCACCTGAAATCTATGTCGTAATCTCAAACTACTTCTTTAAGTACATTTTTATGGATTTATGGCCTTGAAGTAAAAAAACCTCAATGGAATTTGTCTTCTCTTTTTTCCAGTTGATAGCAGAGTGTGAGCAGGTGAAGACGGAGAGAGACACGGAGCTCATCAATGAGCAGGTGCTGATAGCCATGTGTGAGATGGGCCTGGACCGAGAGCGCACACTTCAGGTTGGGAACAAATACGAAGCTGATCCGCACAAATCAATGAAAACTACTTGCTGTGTAAAGGATTACTGTAACGGGACACAGAAGTCACAGTAAACGCTGCGTAGGAGTCACAGTTCTTTGTGAGCTCGCTTCAGAGGGAAAGCAAACTAAGTGCATGAGGAAGTGTTTCTTATCATCTGGCTACATGCACCAGACCATCACAATTTAGCATAAAAGCATTAGAGCCCTATTTAAAAAATCATCTTACCGCTTGTATTTATCCTGCCTCTTCCTCTCTAGTCCCTACAAACGGATGCATACGATCACTACAGTGCCATCTACAGTTTGCTGGCGGACCGCCTCAAGAAACACAAGACCCTGCGCGTGGCCCCGCCCACACCACGCTCCATTAGCTATCCTCTAAACGCCGTACAGGTAATTCATTGTTTACTGTGTTAGCATGACGTGACGATATATTTTCAACATTCCTCGGTCAGTAATTGGTCCGCTTTGATCATATTTGAGAGTTTTGGAGTTATTAAGGTGGCTAGTAAGTATACATTTGTAGAAAAAGGTTTTTAGAAGCAGTGGGACAGTTGATCTTAAGACACTGTTTAATTATCTGATTAATAGTATGGTTTTTCTGTGGACACAATGAAATGTAATAATACGTATGAACTGATTCGTGGATAATAATGCAATTTTACCAAGATCTCCTTCAGTGTCATACAATCAACAGTTGATTGTGACCGCTTGAAGAAGAGTAGTGTTGTTTAAGGGTTCTTCAGAATGTGCTCTGAGTGGAGGTGATTGCTTTAACTCACATCCGCCAATCCCGTGGCACAAGTGGGATCGCTTTGCCAGAAAATGAGTCTAATCGTAACCCTTCTTGCCTGTGTGTCTGTGTTCGTGCCCAACAGACGGATCCACAGGGTAATCCCGTTAGCATGACCGTTCCCCACGTCCAGCTCATCAACCCAGAGAACCAGATTGTTGAGGTGAGTCAACGCTGCACGTTGACATCACCTTGGCAGCGACGGTCATCAAGATTGTTATACAAGCTACGACCATGTTGTAAACTAACTCTGTTTTATGTAATCACTGGCTGTCCGGTGTTTTCGGTTTACTACTACAGTTTACTACTGTCAGTGTGGCTTTGGATCCATCTGCGATACACATAATTACACATGCACACACACTCAAACAGAACACACACGGCTTCCAAGCTGACTCACAAATGCTGTGAAACACAAGAATGCGTCAGATTACTGCATTGCAGCAGGGATTTGAATAGAAGAAATGAACTTTTAAGCATGTATTTTCTGAATGGCAGTGTTTCCCACATAATTACATTTGAGCAGATTCAAGCAGTTAAACAAATAACATTTCTTTGAAACGATCACTGTTAAAAATGCACTAAATGCACTTTGGTGTCTGATAATATCCAACATCCCGTGAATTTGAAAAACATACCAAATGTATATGATCTATAATATTGCCACACATGTTCCCAAGCATGCAACACACAAACTAAAGGGCATTCATAATAATAAATATGTGTCTATTTATTGTTCAGCCGGATGGCAACATGGCACTGGACAGCGATGAAGGGGAGGAACCGTCTCCTGAGGCCATGGCGCGCTACCTTTCGATGAGGCGGCACACTGTGGGAGTACCAGACCAAAGGTTAAACACAACCCTCAGATCTACCATCAGTGATGTATAACCTAGTGCTACAATATCACAAAATGTATTTTATATTCTACTGTAATTTCACCTGATTACTCTAAAATCTCGGCCATTATTTCCTTACATTTTTTTTCCATAACAACTTTTCTGTGAAAGTTAGTCTATATCTTTCAGGACTTCCATGTATTGTCATGTTATCTTTATTTATTTATTTAACACCGTTATCAAAAGATGGTGTATGCTGTGTTTTTTAGTCAGGCTAGTTTTTTTTGAGTTTATTCAATATTCAGTGGGCAGTTCTAGTGGAGTGTGGGTTCCTTCCTGACATCCTCCCTTCTCCACCCACAGGACAGAGATGCAGGAGGACCTCCAGCAACTGCCACCAGGGTTCCCCCGTGGGGCAGTGCCTCAGCCCCCCTTCCCCCCACTGGCCCCTCAAATGAGCCAAATGCACACTCTCATGCCCACACAGAGCCTGCAGCCCACCCAGCAGCTGGAGTACAAGGTACAGTCGTAGTAGAATGTTGTACATTTGTGGCAGTAGTAACTTTTCGATGAGCCTAGTTACTTGATACACTTTTTGTTGATTTGTTTTGTTAAAGCAGATGTTAAACAAGGCTGGAGACTTTACATTTTTATCATTGTCCTGGAACCATCCTGAAAAATAGTTTAAACTTCCCAAAGTCATTGTTAACCTTTTTACTTTGTTTTGTTATCTGCAGTTATTGTTTTTAAGAGCACACTATTCAAAGGATCCACATTTTTTTTAATATTGTATTGTAATTTATTATTTTATATATTTAATAGTTGCTTAAAAAATATATTGGACTAGTATTGCAATTATGTTCAATACACTTGTTAGGTAGTACATATTACACAGGAACACATGTATAAATTCCTACTCTAATTCATATTTTACATGTTTTCAAACTGTATTTATTGAATTGCCTTATCAAAAATCAAATGTTATATTATTTGAACACAACATGATATAATTAAACTTCGTCCACAGGTAATTTATCCTACTGTAATGCAATACAACCCAAAGGTTAACAGTTAGCTCCCTAAATTAGGAACATGCCACCAACCGACTGTTAGTAGTACGCCTTAGCAACCACGTGTGTAGATCCTGCATGACAATGTGAACTGGGAGGCGGGACTACAAACATAAACATGTTTATTGCTCTCAGCTGCAGGTACGAGTGTTAACCTACAGGTGTGCTGTACTAGTTTGTCCCCATTCCTGCCTCAACTGGCAACTACAAAGCAATAACGCCAATCTCCTGATCGATTATTGTTTTGGTTAATCGAAGCATCCGTTATTAGAAGACTTCTCAGAATAATAAGTTACTTGTTTCTGCCAATCCTCCAGGAGCAGTCTCTGCTGCAGCCCCCCACCCTGCAGCTGCTCAACGGCATGGGGCCTCTGGGTCGAAGAGCTTCCGACGGCGGGGCTAACATTCAACTTCATGCTCAGCTCCTCAAGAGGCCCCGGGGGCCCTCACCGCTTGTCGCCAGTCCGGTGAGGATCTGGATGTCTTTTATAATATCCCCTCATTTAAAACGGTTGGAAGTTTTGACTGTAAACTCTTTGCCTCCTCCAGCACCCTATCCCTGCTGTAGCTCCGGTGGATGAGGAGGGTTCGGATGGAGAGCCTGACCAAGAGGCCGTGCAGAGGTAACCCGCGGCTTTTGGTGGTGGGGAATTCTGTACAGGGGTGCTGTCTAAACTGGATAATCTGAGGCTATTATTATTTAGGTGAACATTTATTCTTTTGAGACTTTATCTCACATTTATTATAATCTATTGATTTTAGGATCTACTGATGAGTAATATATGTGTGTAATACATCACTGCATTCTTAGTTTTTTCATCAGCCTTAAATATTGACTAGTCGCACGCAGGACGGTATTCCTTTTTTTGTACGACAATCACAGTCAGGAAATATTAGAAGTGTGTGGGGGGGGGGGGTTTGTTGATTTGAGAATTACTTTTTGAACATAGAAATGCAAAACTCTGGGTTTACCCAAAACATAACGGAACCACACAGTGGGGGTTTATAGTCAGAGGTCAGAAAAGTCATCCCAATTGAGAGCATTGACGTAGTTAGAGTTGAAATCAGGACAGGGTCAAACACAGGCTTGGTGTACGGAGTCGTGATCTTGATTAAGAAGTCCAGTTTCCAGCTGCTCCTCTTCAGACAGCACCTTCTGTAGACTGCGCTGGTGTCCTGGGTTGCTGGGAGTGAGTGCCTCCAGGCTGCTCTGCTTTTTCCCACGGGAGGTGGCCACTCTGCTGTGGTGCTTACCCCATCTCTCCTCCTTTCTCCATCGCGCAAGTGCCTTCTGCCACAGTTTCAAACTGACTCTGCCACCAAATCCAGCCCTACTATCTTTCAAACCTTTTGGCCAAAAGCTTCTTTATCTCTTTCATTTCAACAAGTGCCAAATTATTCTCCAACCTTTCTCACTCTTTCGCACACAGCTTTGCTAACCCTGAAGCTTGCAAAATGAATGATAACAAAAAGAAGACATCCAGTCCAATCCTAAATTGGAAGCTGGGGGGTGTGGGTGTGGGATACCCATAAGCTATAACATCCATCTATGATGTAATTGCATTAAATGTTTTTTTCTGATTGGCTAAGATGATATGAATGATGGCACCCATTGGCAGAGATGGGAAGGGGCGGGCCTATCCCCCCGTCTCCATTAGCCAATGAGGACAGAGAGCTGACCAGCACTGCTTCCTGTCTCCCACCCTCACCCCCGTCCTCCCCCCTCCCTGCGGCCCAGGTACCTGGCGAACCGCTCCAAGCGGCACACGACGCACGCGCTCATGAGCACATCGCATGGCGAGCCCTCGGCAGAGTCACAGCGGCCCCAGGGCCCCCGCCAGAGGGGGGGCTGGGCCCTCGACACACACACCCGGTGAGGGGACACACCCGCTCCGAGCCGTATATGCACAAAAACTCACACAAACACACATTTAATGAGGGGCATAGTAAGCCTGACTCTATCTTTTTTTCTCTCTCTCTCTCACACACACACACACACACACACACACACACACACACACACACACACACACACACACACACACACACACACACACACACACACACACACACACACACACACACACACACACACACACACACACACACACACACACACACACACACACACTCTCTCTCACTTGCACTTACAGTTGATCTCACACACACATTGGTGAGAATATTCTCTCACCATGTGAGAAAGTTTCACACCTTCTAAGGAGGAAAAATATGTTTTTTTTTGTGGTGTATGAGATTGGAGGGTGTGGCACATGACAGACATATCTCCACATCACCAGTGCATTTAGAAGAACCCTTATTTCCTCATTAACCTGGGAAAATCAGGTATGTGACCGGATCAGATTTAGCAGGTTGTTCTTGTACGAACAACCTCCCAAAAGCTAAATCTTGACTTCTATTTATTCTCCCTCCTGTAGCATCCACATTTAGTGTTCTCGGTGTTGTCCAATTCTAGCTGTTGACCCCCATAAGTATCATCCTTCTCCAACTCCGTTTAAAAAAGTGTTTTGAGATACTAGGTGTCCTTTAGGATTTGGATGCAGTGATAAGCAGAACCTGTTGGACAATGTGTGCTGAATTGTTGAAGGAAATCACACGCTCTGTTGAGCTACAATACCGGTGTAAAGCTAGAAGTGGAATCTTTTTTCATGGAAAACGTTTTAGCAAACAGATGCTGTGATCTGCTCAACATCTGCATGCCAACTCATTGTAGTTGTTTATGTGCTCTATGCTATGCAATGGAAAGTAGATTATGTCCTCATCTTGCCACTGGTGACAGATGTTCCTCTGTGTAGTGCTTAGTAAAGAGCTCTTAAGTAGAAACAGAACTCTCAAGAAGCTTTCCTTTAACGTCCTAAATTCTCATTGTTGTAGACAGAGTTCCCGTTAGAATATCTTTTTGCCGGTCAAAATGTCCGTAAAAGTTTAAATCTTCCGGACAAAATGAGAAAAGTGTCGGTCAAAGGTCTTCTTTGTTATTTATTGAGCTTTAAAACAAATTGATATGATTCGATATTAAACAAACTAATTATAGTAGATTAACTACATCATTCAAAAGTGAACAGTAACTTACAATAACACGGGAATAGTATCATGCAGCTCGCGGATCAGTAATGAGTGACCCGACAGTAAAACTAAACATATCTATAAATAGATTAGGTAGTTTGAGAGGTAATTAAAATAGCTACATGTGAATAAAGATTAGGTAAGTTTGAGAGGTAATTAAAATAGCTACGTGTGATATTCTAACCTGAAGTGTGTGTTTTGTCCGCTCACCGCTGCATGTCTACTCGTCAGCAGCAGCAGCTGATCTCTCTCTCCTGTTAGATTAGACTTTACTCGCGTTTATGTCCATATTGATGAGATCTAGCTAGTTCTAGCTAATGATATAACTACCTGCTTATTAAAAGACACCTAAACAATAAGCGTCGCTATGCAACCGGGGGAGGCCACAAAGTATAGCGCAGCATTATGCATTTGTTTACATGCCCACCGGAACCCCGAGGCATTACCAACAGATCAACGCACAATCAACCCATACAGCACATCTCTTTCTCCACATTAAGTGTTAGACATTAGAATTGACTATTCTTGTCTGTCACATAAGTGGCGCAACTGATGCGGTATTGCGCTAAGGGGAAATTATTATGACCGGACACTTTGACCGGAGAGATTTAGATTTGCCGGTCTTCAGCATATTTTACCGGTCATAGTCCGGTAATTACCGGCTAACGGGAACTCTGGTTGTAGATGAACTTGAGTAAACAACGTGTCCGCTCAAAGGTGTAAATATGAGACATTTTGAAGTTACAACTTTGCTCCATAACCTGTCTTCTTCCCTGTCATGGTCCTGGCAGGATGGATGAAATCATTTAAAGGATGTAGCTGGATTTGTTTGACATATCCATTTTTCTACACTCAATAAATCACAGGCTGACATATGAACTTGTAATATTTTGTGCAGACATGAAGAGCTCAAGTTTCTTATCTGTGTGTTTCTGTGTCTGTACGCTTGAATGTGTGTGTCAATGTGTCTGTCATCTGTCATGCTGCGTCTTCATGTGTGTGTTTGTTTTTGTGTGGACGTGTTTGTGTCTTCCCCATGTGGATCCCTCCTTAGATCAAGCTATAAGGACTGTAACACCCTTCATCTCCCCATGGAGCGCTTCTCCCCTGTCAGGCGCTTTTCTGACGGCGCAGCCACCATCCAAGCCTTCAAGGCTCATCTAGAGAACAGCAGCATCATTAAGCAACTCAAACAGGTACATCACCCTTACTCCAAGAGAACACATTATGCTCATAATTGTATTTTATGCCTCTACGATATGTTTACATGCTTTAATGTTCAAAAAGGTATTTGTTTTCTCATACCGCCTGTTCTGCAGCTAATAGAAGTGCGAGTGTTACATAGGGATGTCACTATGTTACGGAAGTAAACAAAAGAAAGGGAATACCCCAAACCGCATAATAGAGACACTTTGATATCCAAGAATATCATCTACTTCTCTTGTGGAAGTGTGTAAGGGAAAATAGGAAAACATTTCTGTGGAAAGGTCCATAGAGTTAATGATCAATACGGTAAAAGAATGATTTCACATTGTGCCGAAGTTTCAAAAGTTCCCCTCTGGTTTGCTGCAACCCCCCTGCCATTTCAGAGACTCACAAAGGGAGGGGTACTAAATGCTTGCAAACAATGACGTAGCAAATGTGGCCCTAAAGAAAGGTTTCTTGGGGATACAAACGGAAGGTCCCTGGTATTGCAGATCTGCTTTTTGAGCCGAGTTCAGTGATACAGCCCCCCCCCCCATCTATAGGCTGACTGTTGCTACCTAATGCTCCTTTTCTGGGCTCAGCTACCATTTCAGTGTAAAGAAGAAAGCTACAGTAAGGAGATCATGATTTTTAAATAGTCTTTTACGTTTGAACTTGTTTTCCTTTTTTTAAGTTTTGAATACCTAATTTCTACTAAACAAAGGACATAAGTATTATCCCAAGTAAGCTCAGTGCCATCAGTCATATCTGACTCATTGGAAGCTTTTCATTCTCTCTTGACTCACAAACTCGTCCTCGTGTCCTCGCTCCTCCCAGCCAGGATCTGAGAGAGATGCGAGGTCGGAGGCGGCTAAAGGAGAAATCCTTGGTGGTTGACGTCACTTACTTATTACTTGCCGCTTAGCTGATTGTGGTACGAATGATCACATTAGTGGTTTTAATTAGGCCAAGGCAGCTTTTAAGTCTCCACTAATCTACCTAGGTCAGCAGGCCAGTTTACCATGACCTTGTTAAGAGCATCAACAGTACTTTGAAACACAATTTGATATCCCCTAATCATCATCATCATCATCTTTCGATTGACCAAAAAGCCAAATGAATTTAAACTTGATTGTAAATGAAAACAAACAGACACCAAACTGCTGTTTCGTGGGATGCCATAAAACATGGCAATTCATTTATCTGACCTATTCTTCATTATAGTTGAGTGGGAATGAGTTCCAGGTCAAAGGTGGAAAGAGGACGCAGGGAAGCTTCTGTTAGCTTAATGAGAAGGATCCAACTGGCTTTTCCTGGAGGTCAGATCAAGTCTTTAGGATTTTCTAATGTTTAAGCAAGAGGGATAAAGTCTTTCTTATCCTTTTGAGTGGCTTGATAAGGGTACATTAAGATTAGACCAGGGGTTAACAAAAGTGCAAGGTGAAACAGGATAACTGTGCAGGTGACAAATGAGTCGCTCAGTAAAACTGGCAGAGCATGGAGCTAGCTCTGGGTAGTTTTGACAAGCTAACAGGGTAGGGTAGCAACTAAAGATTATTCACATCATAAATAAACTAATTTCAGAAAAACAGTAAACAAAATGTCCAACCCAGTTCCACAGAGATCAATAATGTTTTTGAATGTTCAGTTTCTTCATTCCCAAACCCCCAAAATATTCAGTTTAATTTAATGGGATTGTTAGGAACCAATGAAGTAGACTGGTGGTTGATCTCATGGGGTTTATCCTGATGTATAAACCAAGAAATAATATATAAAACAGTACAAAATCACACAACAACCTACATTTGAGAGACTAACATTTCGTTCGGCCATTTCTATATGGACATGTATATGTATTTCTTTTAATTGATCAGTTGACTAATCAGTTCTACAACAAGGTCACAAATGGCATATTTCTAGTCTTTCACTTGGCAAATGTCACACATTTCAATACACTAACTGTACAGTAACGGGTGCCATTCAATAAATAAATCAAAATGCATGTAATCAGCACTTTAAATGCTTTGTAAAAAGATGGTGTTGAAACACTACCACTTACCACTTTCACAAAGGGTCAAATGTCTGGAGTTCCAGAAAAGGCAAAAGTGTTGACAGATGATAATGACAGGGATAAAACTCTTGACACAATTAGACTTACTGTAAATCCAGAGTCAGTACATACAGCGTTACCTAGGTAATGCTAACCTCAAGCTACCTCTCGAGACATCACATCATCCGCAGTGACACTTCAATGGGATTACCTCACCCGGTAGGAGGTTGGGGCGGGAGGATAATCATCATGTTCTCAGTGGGTGCTTAATTTTAGGCGTGCTCTCGCCTGTTGGGATTATGTGATTTCTCTTACGTGTTAAGAGGGGTAATACGGAGAGGTGAACTCACACATGACCTACTATAGACCCGGGTAAAGGGATTTGTTGACTGGAAATCAACAAGTGCAGGGCCTAGTATACAACCTCAGACTACATCAAACGTGTTGCAGCAGGACTGTTGTTTTCACGAGTTTGGACTTTTTGAAATACGGTTACTTTTATTATTTACAAAATATATAAGAAGTATCATCAAACAATAATTAGCTTTATTGTAGAAGTTGACCTGTGTTGTTCCAGCCTTTCGACTTTCTTTAATATTAAAGCCAGCCAGATGACACCATTTTTTTAAACTCCCACTAAGACATTTAAAGTGGTTTTAAAATGCATTTCCTTCGAGCGCTAAACACCATGAACTGATTTTAAATATTCATATTCAATATTTGCAAAGAAGCTGTTAAGTATTTGTATGCAATTTCTTAAAGATGCGCCATTTCTTACAAATATGTTTAGAATTTGTGAACGAAGGTTACATAGATATTACACATTTGTATTTCTGCCAGACAAGTTAAATATGAATACAGTTGTTTTTGTCAAACAACTCTCCCTGGTGATCTGACAAATAGTTCATTGCAGCCATTGATGGATCATTTTCTTAAAGTTTTTGGCTTCTGTTCTACATCCAACGCTTTACCCTCTGTTAGAGTCACTTCCCCTTTGGCACATGAATGTAATATTTGGGAATCCTGTCTTTGTTTCCAATAGGAGTGTGAGCAGCTGCAGAAAATGTATGCTGCTCAGCAGGATGAGCGACTCCTGGAGCACACCCAGCAACAGCATATCCTCTACCAGCACGAGCAACAAATCCTCCACCAGCAAATCCAGGTGTGAGACGCTGACGAGTCATAAAGTCGTCATTCCAGGCCGAAACCAAACTGTGTGCATGGTGCTTTCCAGAAGCATTGTGATGTTTGCGATCGGTTATAATCTGTCACGCAGGAGTATTGGACTCTTGGACTCTTGGAGGGTACCTTAAGAGGGGAAAGAGGGGCATAATAACATGAGGAAAGGATACTCGTTATTTTCAAGCAATGCTACAATAGACAACAGGTTGGATTTAAAATCAGCACAATTGGTCGTGATATGATCTGCTCTTGTGACGGAACATTGAGATTTAGATTTAGTTGTTTGTGTGCTGACAGTGCAGAACTTGCTTGGGGTAAAATGAACAGGCCAGCAGGGTAGGGCTGCAAGTTAAAACCATTTTATTAGAACTAAATCTGCAATTTATTTTCTAGATTAATTGTTTATTAGACCCTCCAGAAAAACGCGGGCTAAATTCCTTGATTATGCGATTAAATATGCGGGGTTTTATGCGGTGAAATTGCGGGAAGTTAGGAAATATGCGGAAAGTTGCGAAATATGCTAAATATGCGGGGGAAAAGAATAACAATTTTTTTAAATATTGGGCTGTCTTATTTATTCTCTCTCACACACAACCTGCCACTAACGTTAAACCCCTTTACTATTCAATTAAACACATTCAATGTTTACTTATTGTAAAAGCAATTGGGCTATTTTAATCTCACACACACACACACACACACACACACACACACACACACACACACACACACACACACACACACACACACACACACACACACACACACACACACACACACACACTTCTTCGCCTCCTTCTGTTTTCATTTACTCGTTCGTTATCTGACCAGCTTCAATCTTGTAGGCTACCCACTTCGTTTCTTGTAGCCCTCGAAAGGGTTTTGGAGGTTGATGCCTCGGTGAACGTGAGTTGTTTGGCTTTCCGTGCGTTGTTTGGCTTTCTTGTCCGCAGCAGCAGAAAGCCTTTTCGAATGTTTGAATTAATCAAAGTGGGTCGTCACCGTCGATTTTCTCTTATGCTCCAACCTTTATATATACAGTCTATGGCTCCAAC